ATATTTTACTAAATTTGTTTCTCCCTCTCCAGGATGATTATTTTCGTACATGGAGTCCGGGTAAACCATTTGATCAAGGTAAGACTCTGCTTCTAGGTACTTCACTTTTATCCTACTGAAGTATTAATAGTTGTGCTCCTGTTCTAGAATGCCTAAAGAGTTCTGTCAATTTGTGTCATTTTTCTCTGTCTTCAAATGATTGATTTAAAGAGGACCAGGAATTCAACTTAATCATCATTTTATTTCTGTGATTTTTTCAAACTTTTATTGATTAGAGAAAGAGAGGGGAATATTAGAAACCTCTAAAGTAGCCTAAAGTTTCCCTCATATAAACATGAGGTTTGGGAAGTTTTGTTTATCTATACATTCAAGTAAAGAATTGATGCTGCTTTTTAGTAGGACATCTGAAGAGAAACAGACACGCAATCTAATATTTGTCTTTTGCAGGTAAAAAAAAATCACTAAGATTTTAAAAGTCTCTTTACATGTAGCACATAAAAGAAAACCTAACAAACCAGTTTTAGGATTCTGTTATGTCCTGGTCATCTGTCTTGTAGCAAAATGTAGCTGGAGCTTTGAGAATGCTATAGTACAACAGTTTCAGTCCAGAATAATTAAAGTAAATGCAGCAAATTTTCCCATTACACGTTCCCTCCCCAGGCTTTGAAACTTAGTGATTACTGTCAATATAATCCACTCCATGTATGTTGTTTCAAAGTGTAGGGCTGACATTTTGAAACAACTGAGAATCTTGGTGCTTTTTGATTGCTATGGGAAATGCTTCAGAGACTTGGTCTTTTCTGGTGGTACCAGTGGCACAAATGCAGTGAAGAAATAGCGTAGGGACTTGTAAACGAGACACCGAGATAAAAATATGTTGCAAAAATAATGTTTATTCAATTTAAAGAACTTACACCCAAATAGATACTGGCTTAAAAGGGAGATTTACAATGAATTTTATTTTATTACAACCAAATTTCTTAGAGGTGGACTTTCCACCAAGTTCTATGACCTTGTTACTTTAATACAAAGTACCTTTTGTCTTTTCCACTTATTCTCTGGGTTTTGATAGAGAGGCATGGTCTGCAAGTATGTTTTTAGTATGAGAACTTATAAGTGACAAAATTTTTCATCTGAAAACATTGAATTGAATATGCTGTGAGTTCTGAAGTTTTTCTTCAGAAAAGTCATGCTTTCTCTTTTTACTTGGTATGTTTTCGGGGGGGGTTGATTTTGATGTTTTTTGAGTGATGCTTTTTTGTTGTTGTTGTGGTGAGGTTTTTGTTTGTTTGGGGTTTTTTTTGGTTTGGTTTTTTGCTTTGTTGTTTTTTTGTTTCAATTGGCTGTGAATTTTTTCACAAGTTACACTGAAATGCCTTTTCCCCCAGATTTGCTGTTCTACACGCATGTTCTATTACGCTGAATTTTTTTGGACATCCTTATAGTGATGTTTGTTGAGTACTTTTCTGAATTTACAAACAATCTAACTAAGAAAACATTTAAAGTTCTATCTAGTTTGCACAATGCATTGTGTAGTAGGTAGTGAATATTTTAAAAGCACATCTACAGAGTTCAACTTTCTATTTTCATTTCCTTGTTCAATGAAAATTTAAATTGAAGAGTTAAATGCATTTGCTGAGTAGTTTTATCTACAATTTACTGTACAATTTTATAATTGTAAACCAAAGAATGCTGGTTTATAACAGTTTTTAATAATAAAAAGTATACAGAGGTTTTGTTATCAAAAAATATTCCCAATGCCTTAATTTGTCAATCTGTCATTTAAAGAATATTAAGGGATTTTTTCATGTGCCAGTGCACTGGCTTTCATTTTTTCCTGCAAAAACTTGTATTGTATTGAATTTAGCAGATATAGAATGGAATTGTATGTCAAAAAATTTACAGTTTCTCGAGAATTTCATGTTTTCTAGGCTCTGATTGTCATTAGATATTCTTTGTTAGTCATAGGTTTGCATTCGTTTGTTATTTATTTGAAAGTATTTAAGTAATATTACTGACTAGATCTGGAAGATATCCTAAAAGATGAAAGAAGTTTTCCCAGTCATTATCTTGTTTTCCATGTTGGCAGAATTGTCTTCCTCTTTCTTTTAGTTATTAGAGGAAATACTTTTTTTTTTTCTTTGAAACATAGAAAATATTCATGAGAATAAAATATAACTAACTGTGAAGTACTGTGTACTTGTTCAGATATTTAGGTCACTTTCATCCAAAGGGAAAAGTGATCAAGTGTGATATTTTGTGGGATGACCCATTCGTACTTTAAAGGGTGTCAGCGTTGCAAATGTTAGTACCTTTTATAGGTGTGAATGTAATGTTGATGATTTATTGAAGAAATCGGGTCTTCTATGATTCTCTCTCTTTGCCAATAAAAGACATGCAGCAGTAACAATCTCAACTCATTTTTTCCCCTTGTATAATTTAATGAGATAGGAAAAAGTGAGAGCTGGTAGACTATAAAAACGAAGTTGTACGGGTGCATTTTGATAGTGCCTGTATTTTTGATCCAAGGCTGTACCATAAGCGCTGCTGCAGCACCATTCCGCTCCAGTTGTGTGCCATTTCACTACTAAGTTCAAAGCAAATAGTGTTTAACTGTTAATTAGCTTTTTTTACCTCTGTAACCATACATGTAGGCTTGCAGGTTTTTAATACGTATTTTTTTCTTTTACCAACGTAAACTATTCAAAGGAATAAATAGGGGCATCATGAATGACTGAATATGGAGTCCTGTGATCTGCTGGGGCTAATTGCAAGCCAAGCAGTCTGTGTTAGAGAATCTTTATGAAGGTTTACCTTTCAGTCTTTTGTTATTGCCATTCTTGTTAGTGCAGCAGCTCCTCTCTCAAGTGAGAGCGTTCCATAAAAAAAGCATTCTCCCAAATTCGAACATGAAACTCATAAGTGAAGGATAAACTTTTAAAATGTAGAGATAAAGTTACATTAAGAGACTGAAATAGTCCCATGTAAATTGTGTTCAAGTTTGTAATAATACTGCTGAAGATACAAGCAGGTATGTTCTTTGAGGACAGAAATAAATAATATCCCGCTATTTTTTTCTGTTAACTATGAAAGCAATGGATTATAGGAATTACTAGTACTTTACAGAAATACTGTTTTTCCTTTGCTGATTTGAACTATAGCAACATTACGTAATGAAATGACAAATGTATATCTGAAAGTTTTAAAATCAGTATTTGAACAAAATATGAAGACTTCAAACTCCAGCTGACTACAAGTGATCAAGGTGTCATATCTGCGTTTTCAAATTGTTTGCTGTAATTTAAAAAACACTCAATCTTTGTTATACCCCTTTGTGTTTTAGGTTACAGTGTAAGTACTTGGTTCATGTATAACTCCTTGCTGATATCACTAGTAGCCAGACAAATGGGTTCTCATTATTTATGTTTATTACTTTATGTATCCATATTCTACTTGAAATGGGAACCTTTTCCAAAGAATTTTTAGCCAATGCTCATAAGAATTTGCAGGTTGTATTTTTGAGGAACCACTGCATGCCATATAGGCGTATCTTTGAGGTCTGCTTATAATTATTATTTTTCTAAGATGTCTATTAAAGCTTTTTCTAAGATTTTGCACAGATTTACTGTAATGGATAATGTATTTTTATATTTTTTTTTCAAAATGCATCCTTAATCAGAACCCAAACATTAATGCTAATATTTTGTTGTAGTATTTGAAAAGACGGTGGTTCCATGAACCAGTAGTTGTGCATGTGATAATAAAATGTAATGTCTTAGCTTTAAGCCTTCCAGTGCGTAAGGAACCTACAAGAAGGCTGGAGAGGAGGGACTTTTTACAAGGGCATGTGGTGATAGGACAAAAGGGAATGGCCTTAAGCAGAAGGAGGGTAGGTTTATGTTAGGTATTAGGAAGAAATCTTTACTGTAAGAAGTGTGAGGCACTGGAAGAGATTGCCATGGGAGGTTACAAACTCTCCATCCCCAGAAATGTTCGAGACTAGGAGGATGGGACTCGGAATAACATGGTCTAATGGAAGGTTCCCTGCCCATGGCAAGGGAATTGGAACTAGATGATATTTAAGGTCCCTTCCAACCCAAACTATTGTATGATTCTATAAATAGTGTTTCAATTCACTCTTCTATACTTCAGTGTGTTTTTAAAGGCCTTATGTTTATATGAGGAAGTGTGTCAGAATTGCTTACGTAGACAGATATGTGTAATTCCATTTGTATTTAAAAGAGTGGCTATATGGAAATATATGTCCAAATGTTCTAGGAGGTTAGCCATTACTTTGAAAATGTATAATGTTATTTACTCCTGGTATGCAAAATCTATTTTAAAAGATGGAAAATACTGTGATTTGCATTGCAGTCTACCAGCACCATTCCTTAAAGCAACATTTGACATTTGTCCAAAGTTTACTTGTTCTCATTGAACTCTTGTTTTTTGATATCCATATAAGATAGAAAAACATATTTATGTTTTGACTGTGTATATACATACATATATATATATATATATATATATACACACCCCTAAATGTTTACATATTTCATATTACATATCCCAAGGTAACTTAATAAATAATTATGTGGGGCAAGATATTGTTGGAATAAATCTGAATGCTCTATTATAGTTACTACTAAAAGACAGGTTTTGCTTTTTCAGTTGTTTTAGAAATAAGCAAGTAGGATGTTTTTTGTTTTAGACTATTCCTAGCTGACTATTCCAGTAGCTTTAGTTTATGTTTTATCAATGCTTACTCAAAATAACCCCCCTATATACACAGTGTTTTCTAACACATTTTCTTCTTATACCAGTTCTATATCAGATGAAAATATACAGGATGCTTCCGGTACATTTTATTTTTAGACTACAGATGGTAGGAGAGCTTGGAGGGTGTAACTATTGAATAGAATTGCATACACAAAGACATTAGTAATTTTTGAAAGTGGAGGCGATGTCTTCCTTTGCTCAGTACTGTGGAGGAACAGTGGAGTATATTCATGTAATTGAAAAAATACAAAATGACATTTCCATGGAAGATGAACAGCCTGAAGGTATAATTGGTTTGT